CCCCCCGCCCCCGCCCCGCCCCTCCGCCCTCCCACGTGCGAAGACGCCAAAGCCCGGCGGCCTCAGTCGAGGGGGCAGGTGTTGGCCACCGGTGGCGTCGTCGAACTCTGCCGGCTCCGGGGCCACTTGACACATATGCAAGCGACATGCTGCCCTGACCCGGGACCGGTGTGATGCCTTCCCAGTGGGGGAAGACTCACGAGCCGGCCCCGGATTCCGGCACCCAGCCCCGGGGGAAGCCAGGCGCGAGTTAAAAGCATGTTGGCGTTTTTATTTTATTTTCCGCCAGCCCACTACCGCGCCCTGCGACCGCGCGCGAGTCCGGCTCAGCGTGCGCGGTGGCAAGCGCCGGGGGGAGGGGGGGCGCCGGCAACGGCGGCGGCGGCGGCGGCGGCGGCGGCGGCGGCGGTGGCGGCCTCTGGGGGCCAGTGCCGGGGGGCCGTCCGCGCTGGCCGGGGGCGCAGGGGGGCATGCGCCGGGGGGCCGAAACAGACCGGAAAGATGCACGCACATGGGGGCGTGCATGTGCGTGTGTCTGTATTCATCTGAGTGGGTGGCTGCTCCTCGTCGGGGCGGGCCGCGCGTGAATGCTTCTACGAGAATATGCACAGACCCAGCGACTGGCCCCCCTCTTCGCGCTTCGAAATCCACGCAATTATAGTGGCCCATAGCCGCGTGCGGATCCGGAGGGGCGGCGAGCGAGCGAGGGAGAGAGAAACACACACACACATACACACACGCACGCACTTTGTGGCCGCCCTCCCGCCACCCCTCTGCCCTCAATTGAGGCTGGCCGAGGAGGGTCCCGGTCGGGCTGATATGTCTCCCTTGACGGGTGACATTTGGCTGAGCTGATGAGTTTCTCTCGCCAGGAGATCGGAAGAGCACACGTGTGGCCGCCCTCCCGCCACCCCTCTGCCCTCAATTGAGGCTGGCCGAGGAGGGTCCCGGTCGGGCTGATATGTCTCCCTTGACGGGTGACATTTGGCTGAGCTGATGAGTTTCTCTCGCCAGGGGGGCCGAGGGCTGGGGGGGGGGGAGGG